GGGAGAGGGGAAGAGAGGAGGACGCCTGGAAGGACATCACCCACCCTCTGCTTCTCTACACCAAGGTGCTGTTAGTAATGTAGACAGCTGTTTCTTAATTGTGTGAGGGTTAATTAGCATTTGTGTGCTGATTAGAGGATGATAAGGGCTGAGTTCAACGGAACTGTGCTCATGTGATTAGCATTGAACTCAAGGCTTCGGTTAAAGACAGTGACAACCTTCCTATGTCCTGCCTTCAAAACTGCCCTTTGCTCCTCTCTCTGACCTCCTCCCTTCTTTGTCCCTTGCCTTGTAGCCCTGCTGCTGGACATCATCATCGTGGCCGGCCTGCAGAAGCTGGCCAAGAGGAAGGGCCCGTTCGACGTGAGCCCGGGCTTGTTGGACTACCTGACCATGGACACGTACGCCTTTCCAGCGGGACACGCCAGCCGAGCGGCCATGCTCTCCAAGTTCTTCCTCAACCACCTGGTCTTGGCCATCCCCCTGCGCATCCTGCTGGTCCTTTGGGCCTTCTGCGTGGGCTTTTCCCGCGTCATGATCGGACGGCACCACATCACGGATGTCCTGTCTGGCTTTGTTTTTGGCTACCTACAGTTCAGGCTGGTGGAGTTGATATGGATGTCTTCCAACACGTGTCAGATGTTGATATCAATCTGGTGAACACAGGGGACTCGATGCCATTCAACTGGAAACTAGCAGATACTTTAAGAGTCTCCCTCCTAGTATTTTTTACGTGTTGTCTGTTGGAAAGAAGTGTAAAATCCACGAGTAATTGCGTTTTTTAATGTTGCTTCCCTGCCTGAAAGAAAAAAATATGTTACTTGCAATTGATTGGGTTTTAGTAATCAAGGGCCACAGCTGTGTTTTGGCCGTATTCTCAAGTAAATTGAGCTTCAGAGATGCAAGAAATGAGCTACATGCCTGCCTTGTTTGGGTGGCTCGTAACTGCACCTTGGTGTGTCCTCCCAGGGGGCTGCACCTGAGATCTTCCCGAGAAGACATTTGTTAACTTCTTTGAGGCTGAAGGATTTTGGCCACTCTGCTTTTCTTATTGTAAGCCCAGAGTTTGTGCCCAGAGTCTGGGCACTGCCGGCATTTCATAGATAATAAATAATCCTAAAATTGCTGCCCTGTTTGGTTCTTCCCCTGACCTTGAGGGGTTTTCCAATGGAAACCCAAGCGGTTGTAGTGTTTAGTGGATGGCTGGATGATGGTCCTGCAGGGACCAGAACTGCACTGACCCTCAAGAGAAGGCACAAATAACAGTTGAGTAAAGCTTCTGGATTCAGGTTCACCTTGGAGCACGTGTTGCAGTTTTATTGGTGTTTAGGGGGTGGATGTGTTCACTTAAATTGTTTGCTTTAGAAGGGTGAATTTAGGACTTAGGTGGCATGTTGAACTTGGCCTTTCATCGGCTGTTCAAAGTCATGCTCTGTGCAGGTGCATCTGGGGTTTTTGTCTGGTAGAAGGACAACTGCAAGTTCTTCTTTTCATCCTAGTAGGGGGTCACTCTATAGACTCTGAATAGTATATATAGTGCTGAATCATGGCAATTTTGCAGGGCAGCTCTAGACAGAGTACACGGAGTCTTTTCCTACATCTTCGGGACCACAATTTTGTATTTATGCCAAATGATGCTCTAGATGGCAATTTCCAAGGTAAGTCTCTTCTCGCATCGACTGCTTTCCGGTACTGACAGCAAGTTGTTGGTGAGCAGGAGAGGTGGCAGGGAGCCAGGATTAGCTCCAGCCCTGTCCCTGCTTGCTCGTCTGTGACCTTGTTACTGAGCAAACTACTGAACGCTTCTGTGTCTGGCCCTTGTGAAATGAGGAAGGCTCCTTTGACCTTCCTGGCCCGCAAGGCTAAGCAATTGAGGTTTGCAAACTGGTTTGAGATTGCTAGATGTGGAGTGCAGCACACAGACTGTTGCTCTGTTTTAGCCAGACTATCACCTTGAATCCTGGCTGCTTGTTTTCTGCATAATGACCATTAGATAACGAAGCATATGGCCCACATCCCATCTTTTGCACAGAGCCCTTGCAGTCTGGTGTGGTTTCCCTGCCTCTAGGAGACAGTCCTGATGTTTGGTGCATGAGGGACACTACCAGATTCAGCCCCTTCCCTGGCTGGATGCTCTTTCACATGTTCCAAAGGATCCTACCATTCCAGTCCTCCTGTTTGTCCCAAACTGAGCAAAATGTACCCATCCTGCAGGCCTTAGGCAGCCAGGTCCTGCACTCCCATCCACCCCAGCATGTTCTTACCAGGGCAGCTGTTGAGAGAAACATTAGCAAATTATGAACATTTGCTGTTCTTTGCTAATTAATATGGAAAGGAGACAGGCAGCAACTCTATCCTTGACACGCATCTCTGACCAGAGGGTCAGCACAGAGCCCCGCGAGCTGGTGGCTTCATGTGCTGCCAGCCTGGAGCAGGGACACGCAGTGCCTTGGAGCCGAGGGGCTCCCATGGAGCTCCCAGGGGCAGGCGCTTCCAAGGTCCCTTTGGAAAGGGCTGGCACTGAGCGTGTTCAGGAAAGGGGAGCGAGCTTCTTGCTCTCACCGCTTTTCTCTGGAGGCTGCCGCATCCGTAGCAGATGGCAGCGCGCAGGGGGCTCGTGGAGCCGTGCGGCTCCCCTGCTGCGCCTTGCTTAAGTGGGAACAGGGAATCAGCTCCCCAGGAAGTGAACTTCAGTGGGGAGCTGCTCCTGCCCCGGGCCTCCATCAGGAATTCTCTTTGCAAGCCTCCTTCTCCCGTAAAGACTTATGCAAGAAGCGACCGACCGCTCTTCCCTTTCCTTCGAGACGTGACTGCGCTCAGGGGAGTTTATTCCCATGCCGGGAAAGGCTGGGACACGTTGCAGTGGTGTGTGCGGATACACGGTGGGTGCCTGTGGAGGCAGGGAGCAGAGGAGCCTCTGTCTGGGTTGTTCCAAGGGAAGCTGTCACTTTGCGGGCGTTTAATCCAAAGCTCGGGCTTTCCTTTGCCCATAGGCTGGGTTCAACCAGAAACACGTGTGTGCATCACATTCTCATCTGCCTTTAACTGGTCTGTATCCTGGTTATCCTGGTGCTTCACTGATGGCTTTGGTGGAGTTCCTTCTGGTCCGTGCTGGTGGGAATGGTGTGTGGCTGGACACGGGAGGGGAGCGGGAAGCGGCCTCTCTGCAGCGACAGGACGGGATGGGGATGGTGGTACCCAGGCAGCTCTGGGGTAGAGCTTGGCAGGGCTGGGGACAACAGCCATGGGGTGACATTGCTCTTCTTCCAGTGACAACAGTGCAGGGAGGGACCCGTGCTCCGGCACTGCCATCCCACAGCCGGGTTGAGTGCTGGGGCTGCAGGCAAGGAGGATCCAGGAGCAGGAGCGAAAGCAAAACCTCCCTGGCTGGGCAGATGCCACCTGGGTTGTGTCACCCTTTGAAAGGCCACAGAGGGCCGGAGGTGGCAGTAGCCACAGAGAGGTGGCAGTAGCCACAGAGAGGAGGCTGCGGGGCGCGCAGCACCGTGCTGGGGCTACCAGACCGTTCACAGGTCACAGCAGAGGGAGGCCAAAGGCCAAGCAGCTCAAGCTCCCTCGGGGCCGCCCAGCAGCGCAGATGTTTCCCCCAAACCCTCAGCACCCCAAATTAGGCTCTGGACTAAGTGCTCGGGTCGCTCAGCATCCCGCGTGCCCTCCAGCACGCTCCTGCCCTGGCCCTCCTGCTGATTGCGTAGGGCGGCAAAAGGGAGGGTTTAATTCATTAAAGAAATGAAGGGTGCCAGGGAAGGAGCAAATCTGGATTATACCCGTGGGCATTTGTGGGAATCGCTGGCGGGATGTTTAGCTCCTCCTTCCCCTCTCTAAGCTGGTGTTTTATTTGAACAAGCGGCCCCAGGGCTGCGGGGAAGCGAAGGTGACACAAATCCCTTCCCGCGGGAGCCCCTGATGTCCGGCCTCGTGCGGGCCGGGGGTTAGGAAGGCCTTTATGCAACATCTCCCCATGGTGGCATGGCCACGGCGTTGGTCCGTGTGGCAGGGAGCTAATTTGCACCATTTCCCGTTAAGTTTGCATGTTAAAATGCTAAACAACCACATCACCCCCCTGGTTAGCAATTGAATTTATTGGGCAAAGCCTGAGGAAAGCGGCTGGTGCCTTCTGATGCCCTAGAGCTGAGCGGGAGGTTAGCGACTCTGTCTAACCCTCTCCATCTGTCTGGCATCCCTGAATCCTGCAGGGAAACCGAGGCACTTTGCCTGTCAGCAGTGGGGCTGGCAGCAGGGTCTGGGTGCTCCCTGCAGCCCCCCCCAGCCTCAGGGGATTAAGTCAGAAATTGCAAATTTAAAGAAATCCCTTCAGTCTGCATAGGTCCATGAGGGGGAGGTGGCTGGACACCTCAGTTATGGGTGTCCCCTGGGCTCTTTGGCAGGGCGGGAATGGGGCCACTTCCCTCCCCGTGCTTGGGGCTCCGAGGCAGCAAAGATCCCCCCAGTCTCTTTCCCGGACACAAGGGTCAAAGCGGATTAAGGGTCTCTCAGCTGATCGCATTTATTTCATTATTTGAGTGAAATCCCTTGTAAAACCACCTTCCCCCTCCTCTTCCCTTTATAAAAATAGAAATCAGGGAAGAATTGCAGATTTAGGAGAAGTTAATCGCAGAGGCGCATCCTGCCATTAACCACTGGCCACCGGAGCCAGGGAGATGCTGGAGAGCCCACGGGGTCCCAGTCCCCACAGGTGGGGACTTCTGCTTTAATGGTAGTTGAGTTGCCGCTGTTGTGGTCACAGCTGGGCTGTGATGAGCTGCTAATTGCGGTGTTGGAATAAATTGGCTTGAGCAGGCAGTGGCTTGAGCAGGCATTTTAGTTCCTGGTGAGTCTCTGCAGGATGGGCCTGTGGCCCAAGGTTGGGGAACTTGAGGCTGTTCCAAATGCTGGAGCTCTTCCCACTGCAGTGCCCCCCTTTGCTCTGAACCTCTGGAGATGATGGGGATGCCTGGGGATTTAACTGTGGGAATTGCACTGGCTCTATCCCAAATGAAGTGTTTTTGATGGCCCTACTTCCCCCTGATTCACCCTCTTCATCTTTGCATGGGTAGATCCTGCCAGCAAAGAACTGTTTGTCTCTTGCATCTTGGCCTCGCTCTAGGACTCCTGTCTGCCTCCTTTCCCATCCTGCATTCCTGGGAACAGCAGAACTGGAAAACCAGGCCTGCAGGGAGCAGATAGAAGGTGAGTGCTAAAGTGATGGGTGCTACAAAGCACCTAGAGGTGAATGGACACAGGGTGTTTGGTGACATTTGCCTCCAGTTGTGCTCACGGTAGTTAAAATGTGGCAGTTGTTATAGGCTCAGCCTTGATATCTGCCTGCAGGGTCAGTGCTGGGGAGCTGGGACCTGCTTCCCACAGGGATTGGCACCTTGGAGCTGCCTGCAGAGGGTTGCACCAGTTTGGTTTCCTTGGGTGCAAGGGGTTTTCCTTTGCTTTAAATCCTCCATCTGAGGATGTGCATTAATGGCACGTTGGGGCACAGCCTTTGTGCTCAGCCCAAGCTGGAGGTTATATAAAAGGCGGATTAATGGGAATTGGCAAAAGAGGGAAGCATGTGGGGGGATGTGGGGAGGATGCTGGGTGGATTTGGAGGGGGCAGAAAGGAGACCTGCAAATTTGAGCGGAAATGGTGCTTTTTAAAGATTTTTTTTGTGGTGTATGTTATTCTAGCACTAGCCAACAAGCAAATAAAGACTGGAGGATGAGGTTACAAACAGCCCTCCAAAGGGAAGGCAAATCTTTCCTAGTTTGTGGATGTTAAGAAAGGTTGAGTGCTCCCCACAAGCTCCGTGCAGGAAGCTCCCCTCTGGCTGCCCCTTGGAGCATGGTCAGGTCTCCAGCCATAACGGGGTGACCAGGACCCCCAAATCCATCTCCTCCTGCAGGTGCCGGCTGGGATAGATGAGGTCAGGGAGGGAGAGCAGTGGGGCTGGGGCCGCTTCCGTGTGGGATGATGCCGGCTCTGCAGGAAGGCTTGGCTGGATCCCGCCGTCCCTCAAACCCAACCGGGAAGGACTTGCGAGATTCCTGGTGGGCTTCCTTTTCTCCAAGCCTCCTGCAATAACACGGGCCGTTGCGTGGCTTCCTTTCTAGATAACCTTTTTCCTGCTGCCCAGCGTCCTTATCTGCTGCAGACAGCCTGGCAAGATGAACCGGAAAGCTGAGACCTTATCTCTGCCTCTCAAGGAGCTTATTTAAGTGCCGGAATGTGTCAGATGGTAAATGATGGTTAAAATCCAAGCGAGGCGCAAGGAGCTGGGGACGTGCGGGGAGAAAGGCAGCATGGGGGCTGCAGCCTGTCAGGGCTTCCCTTTCTGCCTGTCAAAAGAAGCATGGCTAAAAAGGCAAAAAAACTGCTCAAAAATACAACCTGGTGTTGGTTTTCTTGCCAATCTGTGGCTCAAGGTGTCAGACGGCTGCCAGCTTTGTAGGGCTCCCAATGTCTCTGATCTCCCCGTGCCTCAGTTTACCTGTTGCAGAGAAGGGCAGAGCACAGTGAGGGCTAGCAGGCTACGTGAGCCAGCGCCTGGCACGCGGAGCCCGTGTTTGCACCCGCATCCCGCTTGGATGTGGGGAGATGCTAATGCAGCCATAAAGGTAAGTGGGATTGGAGAGCGAAAGGGCTAATGAAAGCGAACGTTTGCTGCTCAGATGGGCTGATGCAATGAAATGAGATCTCCCCGGGGACACCGGGGCGAGCGGAGTGTCGGCTCCTCGCGTGTTTCTGCCGCTGCAAGCGGTCGGTTCGGCTGGGGCAGCGAGGGGCCAGGGAAACCCGCCGGGCTGCCGTGACGCCCGGGACAGCTGCTGTGCAGGCACCAGACGGGTTTATTTTGGTCCGGTGCTTAGTGGAAAAAGAGATGGCAGCGCTGGGTGCCAGCATGGGGGGGATGTGCATGGGAATCCTCCCTGTCTGGAGCACCCAGGGGGAAGGAGAGCAGAGCAGGACACAAGTCCCCAGGCTGGTGGGTTGTGTGAGGAGCTCCAGGTGTGAACACCTTGATCTGCAGGGAGCGTGGGATGCTTGGCCATGTCTGGCTCCTGGAGCTAGTGACCCAATGGGCCCTGGTGACTGGAAATCCTTCTGTGGAGGTGATGTGGGCTACCTGGACCACATGCCCTGTGCCATCTGCATGGGGCTGGGTGGCCCTGCGGGCATAGAGGGAACCCGAAGCCCCCAGCTCCAGCCACAGCGCCCTCCTGGCTTCACAGTTGTCCCTGTCAATGTGGAAGGGGAGGGTGGGGGGGCCCATGTGAGCCACACGGTGTCTGCATCTTGTGATCCTGAAACCCAAGAGCCCCCGCTGAGTCAGCAGGTTATTTATACTCCCTGGCTGTCCTCCCGCCAGCTCGGCCTCTCCTCTCCCTCCTCCGGGGCACCAGGCAAGGGCAGGGGCTCCGTCCTGTCCCGTTGTTCCCAGGCCCCTGTCTGCTGCCTCCCTTCCCTGCCCTCAGTCCTCTCTTTGCTTCCACTGAAGCCTTGGACCAGGTCACCTGCACTGTGAGTAGGGCTTTTGGAAGCCCAGGATGCTGAGGGGGATCCCTGGGCTAGTCCTGCCAACCTCCCTCACTGTCCTGCAGCAAGTCCAGGCTTGGGACAGATGCCAAGCGTGCTGTGACCCAACCTCTGTTTGGATGGGATTTTCCAGGCACCGGTGTTCTCCAGCTCTGACCTTCTCTGGTCCCAGCCTTCTTGGTGGTTTGTGCATCTTGCCAGAACGGCGAAGCCAAGCAAAGGAGCCATAGAGCCACTGGAGGTGCCTCCATCCTGGTGCCTCTGGGATGTGGATGGGGAGAAACAGGACACTTGGCAAAACTGTTTAGCAGGACCTGGCTCTCTCATTAGCAGCTCCACAGCCAGCAGTCCCCGAGCTGGTTATAACAGCCAGGTGGGATCATCCTCCAGGCCCTAGGCAGCGCTCGCTGCAGCATCCACAGCTTTTCCCTCTCCTGTCCCTTCCCTCCTGCTCGGGTTCCTCCTCTGCTGCTCCTAGCCCCATGGTGCCAGCCTGCCCTGCACAGCCTGCCCACTTCCCCAGCCGCAGCGGGGCTGTCCCTTGTCACCAGGCGCTGAAAGGAGCCTCCCAGCCTCTTCCGACCTTCCCGCTGCAGCCCGCGTCCTTGCGAGCGCTCCAGCCACCTCCGTATTCCCCATCCTTGGCGCTTCCCATTGCGCAGCCCAGCACAGACACGTCCCAGCCCGGGAGGACGGGGGCAGCTCCCCGCGGTCCGGTCCGTCCCGGCCGGCCGGTCCCTCCCTGCCCGGGGCTGCCGCTCCCTCTAGCGGGGACGCGGCCCCCTCTGCTCCCGGGAAAGATGCTCCGTGCCCGGTAGTGCCCCGGTAAGCGGATGCCCCTTCTGCATCATGCGCCGCTGTTAAGTGAATGCCCCACGCCGAGCGCTAATGCCCCCATGGCTCATTATGCCCTGGGTTGATTTATATCCCAAGGTCAAGATGTTTCTCATGGTTCTTCCCAAGAGAAACTCCAGAAGGGTCCTCTGGGCTGAAATTGTCCTTCTGAGTGTAAATATCCACCTGTCGCTAAAATATTTAGGAAATTGCCTTAATAATTGAAGGAGAGAGCAAACTCGAATGGGACTTGGCGTGATTTAGCAAGGTGGAAGGGACAAAGCTAGTCGTGAAAAAAACTACTCATTAAACGTAGCATTATTTCATAAATTCTCCGTGCGTGAAGGGATGTTACAACTCTGGAGATTTCCCAAATAATGATTTTTGCCTGGGGGTCCTTGAAGTGAGCCCTGAGGCCTCCGATCGCAACCAGATGCAGTGTCAGTCTGTGTGTGTGCAGGATTCGCTCGCTGCTCGGGCTGTGATCGTCCCCTTGCAGATCCAAGCCACGCTCGCCCACTGCAGCAAAAGTGCCCTGGCTCCCAGCAGGGCATCCAAATCCACCAAAATGGTTTCTTCTCGTCAGAGTCTTCACATTTGGAAGAAGCTGCTGGTTCCCCTTGGTGGGGTGAAGCGAGATAGTTTGGAAAGGGTAAAACAGCAGCTTGCAGCACAAGGGGCTGGGGAATGAGATGGCCGTGATGGAAAGTTGGAGCCGTGAACATAAACGCATCTATAAACTTGCATTCCTGCCACATCTGGGTACACTATAAGGGTTTCAAGGTAGGAAACAAAATTAGACATTTTAAAAAATCTTTGTTGAATATTAGACATTGCAAAATTATCTGAAGTACCTTAAAACTCTATTTTTTTTTGATAAATTTGGGGAAAATATAGATTCATTGTTGTTTCCTGTCCTTATTTTCATTTTTTCCCCTCTCTCTTTGTCAGTTCAGACCTTGTGACTAACTCCAGCTTGAAATATTTGGTTGAATTTCTCCCCAAAGCAGCTTGCAGTTTTTCATAACTGGAAGGATGAAAGCAAATGAAATGTCATTTTTGAAAAGACAACAATATCTGTCGCTAAAATGTGCACAACGATCCTGCAGAATTGTGGCTCTAGTGCTGTTTAGAGTCAAATAGGCCCCATACACTGAGCAGCCCAGTGATCCCTTGTGAATTACCACAAAAATCCGGCAGGTTCATCTCTCACAGTCATGCTTTGCTTTTCTCAGAAACATTCCTTGTGGTTTTGAGACAGGTTTTCTAGGACCTTGCATCAAATAACTGGATTCTCTTACTTGATTTTTTTTTTTTTTAAGTAACCTTTTTGAAAAGCAGCATTTGAGAGAGGGTAAACAAAGGAACTAACTACAAAAGCAGACACCTCTGTGCCTTCTCAGCAGCGTTTTCAGCATGGCCTGGGAGCAAGTGCTATGATGAACAGGTCCTTGTCTGGCAAAGCTTCTTAGTACTTGCAGCTGCATCTCTGTTTTCTCTCTTTTCTGAGTGTTTTGAAAAGTGAGCATGTCAGGAACAATCTTTGGAGTCTTTTGAAGCTTATTAACTGCCTTTTTATAAGAAAAACACATGGCGCTTCTTGAGTTTTTTGTGACCCTCTTGCTGCTCAGACAGTCAAGGATGTGTGAAGGCTTCAGCACATACGTAGTGAGAAGGAGTTGAGGCTTTAAAAGCTGTAGCAGGAGTGGCCTCATTTTGCAGAGTTGTACATGGGGAAAAACTGAAGTCATGGCTGCTGAAGTGCCTCCAAAATACTTGCAATATCAAGCAATTGGCATTTAGCTCTCATCGGAGGCAAAGCTTCTCACTAAAGCCAGCTGAAACCAATCCACTTCTAATTGGCAAGAGGGTTTCCTCCTTTAATCAGCTCAGTCTTAAGTGATTTGGTTTTCAGTGCCTTAAATAGTCATTTTGTTTTGCCCTTCAGGCAGTCGGCAATGGTTTAAATGGAGTTTAAATGGACAAACAATAGTCTGAGAATCAGAAATGCTTCACGGGCCTCTTGATTTTACACAGGGCCTGCGACTCCCGTAGGCCAGAGCAAGGCCAAAGAAAGGAAGAACTTCTACCTGATCCAAGAGGAACAGCCCAATTCGTGTAGAATATTGGTCAAGTCTGTGGTCTGTCTTAACTCTAAGGCTCAAGGGCATTTTTCTTTTTCTCCGCTACACCGTAAGTGAGTTTTTGTACTTGTTTCAGCCAGCTCAGGGCCCAAGATGGATGGATTCGAAGCAAAGACGTGGAAGGGCATCTCCTTCGTTGTGGGAGAGCTCAACAGGGCTTAAGCTGGGACTTTCCTGGGGACTTGTTTTAAACAGTAGCGCCGTCTTTGATCCGAGCAGCGTTTTTGACAGAATTTATGGATTTCCACAAAAATGTTATTTTGGCAACTATGATATTTTCTCATGATAGAAACTCTGCTTTGAGAAACTTCCCAATCCATGCTAGGGAAAATTGTGCTTGACAGTTATCTACTCTCTACACCATCAAAAAGAAAATAAAGTTGCCTGATCCCCTGCTGTTCCCTCAGTGTTTGTGCAGTGACTAATGCAATGTTGAGAAGCTAAATGCAAGTAAAAATGCTAAATATGATGTCCCACTAGAACACACTAAGAGACAATGGTTTAAAATACTTTCCATTTGTATCCCATGGCTCATTAGTAGCAGTTGCTAGTTGATATGTGTGGTTTTGCTTGTTCTCTTTCTATGATTAGGGCTTACAGCCGTTATTTCACTCTTTCTTCCATTTCTTATTTAGTTCTTTGCTTTGCAGTAGGGGGTGAAGGCCAAAACTCCTAGGTTTTCATGCTCGTTTCCTATTCTCAGAATTTTGTACTCTATTTCTGCTTAAAAAGGTGAGACACTCTAGCTTTCACACTCCTCAAAACACCTCTTTATTCTCCTTAAAATAATTATATGAAAACATCTCTATGATGTTAGATCTCAAATGAGAAGGGAAAAATAACCTTTTTTTTTTTTTTTTTAATGCTTGAGCCTTAATCTCTCTTTGTTCTGCTGCAGGTCTTCCTTTAAAAACATCTCCTTATATTTGGATGATACATCATCATAAATGGGATTACAGAGAACTGCCAGAGCTACTCATGTCGTCTTTCCTGCTTCATATGTATGACAGCTAAAATCTCTCATGTTCTTGCTGACTGGCTTTTGGGTCCTAAGGCCCTCTTCACTTAGTCGCGGGCTTGAATTTCTCTGTAACCATCTAAGACGAGCTAATGAAGTCAGCGTAGGCATGGGGCGCTTGCTGATTTAGACACAACTGAATCTGAAATGGATTTTCATGCTTCAGGGCCTAAACCAGCTCCTGCCTCGTGGGATTTGAAAGAACATTCTTCCACGGACGGGTTACCCTTCATCTGTTCCCTCCTTGCTTCTTCTGCAACAGCTGATGTTGGCTGCTGTCTCAATGGAGACTAAAAGGACCGTGGCATGATGCAATAAAGTAAATGCATATTTTGTATGCATTTTTGGATGGGGAAGAGACCGGGATAGCTTTGCTTTTTCCTGATGGGCTATGTGAATGAACACCAGGGCAGTAAGGCCTTGTCTTATGCTGCAGGTTTTAGACTGCTGAAAATCACTCCACATGATGCAAGCTGCGGCCGGGGATTTATAGATGTTAAACAGATGTTTGAGGAAGCTGTACAATATAATGGTAATTCTGTTATTTCTAGGAAATAGAGCACAAGGTGTTTCTGCAGATATATATTCTATGCAAATGCTGAAAGACCTCTGAAATGGTTATTTTCTGTTTCACAGGATCTTCCATTGGATCAGCTTTTTGGAATAGGTCAGAAAACAGAGTAGGATTCCTACTAAAATGGGTCGTGCATAGAGCCGTGCAATGAACTTCATCCACGTGAAACCTGTTCTTCAATTTTTGCCCAAATTTCTTCTATCTGTGCGCACTGCTCCCACACAGCTCATTGCAAGTCTAGCTCCACTGATTCTAGTCTTACACCAGTTGTTCTGGTTTATACACAGGCCAGTAAAATGTGAGGTGGGGTCTTAGAGCAGCATAGGAATTCATCACCCTTTGCCAAAGGCTGGTTCTATCTTCATGGACCAGGAATGTAATGGATCCACCCTCTCCCATTTGCTGGCAGGGACAGAACTGAAAGAACAGAAAATGGGTTTTTTTTCAAATGATTGACAGTTCTATACAGAGAAAAGCCCAGTCTCAGTGTGTTCCTATACCATAAGACTCTACGTAGCTCCATGGAGGTGACTGACCCAAAGGAAAAGCTGTGAGTTAGAGTGCGAGGGCTGTAACATAACCACAGTAATGAATGTACAATTGTCTGGCATTTGTTTATTTTTTCATCTTGATCTTCACACTGGGTTGTATTGTTTTCACCTTTAATTAGCACATCTATTCCCTTGGCCTTAGATTGTTGCCTCAGAGATGCACAACAGACCTTTGGAGACCTGCTCATTAGAGCAGCAGGTGTGCGTGGAGCCAACCTGGACAAGCCTCTGTGAGTCACCTGCTGATGATTTGGGTTATTGATGGCTACATGAGTGTATGAAAGTGAGCGGACGCCACAGTGCCCATTTCCTAAGAGATAACATTAATGTCTTTGGCTATATGTTGTTGTAGGGTATCAATAGCACAAGGTGCACACTGGTGGTGCTCTTCCTTGTGCTCATCAGCTGACATGAGCTGTGATCCTACAAGATGCTGCACAGCAGGGCAGGTGAGTGTGAAAAGCAGCAGCCCAAATCAGCGACCATCAAATCATTTCCACCTTTGGAAAATTGTTTAGCTTGTAGCCTCTCTCATGGAGGATGCTGAGGTTTGGACAGGCAGGAAGCAAGATAGAACATCTATGGGAGTGTGTGTGTGTGTGTGTGTGTGTGTGTGTGCATGCAAATGCATGTCCAGTTGGGTAGGGAGACTGATGGAGAAGGAAAACCAAATGCACCAGACTAATACCCTGGTGCTCTGAGCAGGTCAGTGTGAATGAGGTTAGGAAGGACAGTGGCCTCTTCTATGAGAGCCCTGTAAGGAGAGGAGCAAAGGGCTTAGGTCTGCTGTCTCTGAGAAGAAATGTGCTGCAGACAAGATGGGACTAGACCTGAGAGGGGCAGGAGCAGAATACTTTTATATCCAGGAAAGCAGGGGATGAGGCAGCCAGATGACAGTTTTCAGCAGTTCTGGCGCATCTCTTAGTAGCTCAGCACCTGGCAACTTTGATAGCCTTGCAGATCAACTGTAGGAATATCACATATGGTCCAGAAAGCTGTTCATGCACTTCCTCCCTGTGCATTGCTCTCGGTGTTTCAGATCAGAGACACCCCTCAGCAGCAGAAAGTTAGATGCCAGGTCCTGCACTGCTCCTATATGTCTAGGAGAGTACATGTGTGTGTGTGGATGTTCTTCTTGAAGAGACTAGGAGACTAGGAAATGCTTTGCAAAAGCTCTCTGCTTATGCTTGCTTGGACATTCCAGATTTCCTCATGATTTTCTGAGGCCTGCTATTGACTGTAGTGCCCCATCAAGATTGCTTTAAACAGGCAGAATTTAGAAACTTCACTGCCACCTTTAAGGCAAGGCAGGGGTATTATCTCTTGATCCCTGTTGAGACACTGAGAATTTTAATTAGATCTAGGTTTGCTAAGGATTTTTAGAGACTTTTTACTTTTAGTGTTCAACCAGAGACAGGCCCTAAAAGGGCCCCTCATTTTTGAGGGGGGGGAAAAACTGGTGGATCCTCCCTAAAAGTAAATACCCCTGTACAGACATAATCTGGCTTTTCATCATTAAATGCCTTGTTAGCAGGATATCATAGCAGTTGCCACGCTGTATGAGTGAAAACACAGCAGCCCTGTTCCCCAAAAGGTGCACTTTATAGGTGATATTTTTACGTCAAATTTCCTGACAGGACCAGTTCAAATCACGCTGACCCACAGTTCTCTCCAGTCCAAAGAGGGACACTGTTTTTTTCTTGTATTTTATGGATAGGCAGCGTCTTGTAGGACAGGAGCAGCTGCCTTGCTCCACAGCAGACACTTGTATCATCATTAACGAGAGAGTATTAAATAATATTTCCGGACTGAAATCCTCCCAAAGGGCAGTGCTTTTTGGGTTGCCTTGAAACTCTGAAACACGCAGGGAAAGGGCTGCCGGCAAGTGGTGTCCCCCTGGGAAGAAGCCCCATTTAGCCTCCTCCAAGAAGGGTTCCTGGAAGGCCCCTGCAAGCAGGATTTCCCTCGGAGGCCTGTGCCAGACAGAGGGCAAGGAAGAGGATGCGGCCCAGCTGCTGCATGGGGGTGAAGAAAAGAGGGAAATTAGGGATGGCGGTGACGGCCACCCTTGGAAGCCGCCCCGTGGGTTGTGGAGGGAGATGTCGCCTCAGGGCCTCCCTGAGGGGGTGCCGCGCCTTCCCGCCTCTCCCCCGCCTCCTCTTCCTGCGCGCTGCTGCGCGCGCGGCGCCCTGCAGGCGGCGCCGTGGTGCGGGCGGCGCCGCGCGGCGAGTGACAGGCAGGGCCCGGGGGCGGGAGGCGGAGGAGGAGGGAGGGGGAGGAGGAGGGACGGCAGCGAGGACCCGTATCGCCCCGCATCCCGCCGCCGCCGCCGCGCAATCCGCCGCCATCCGCCGCGCCCCGCGCCCCTCCGCAGCCAGCCCGGGCTCCCCGACACCACGCCAGGTGCGTTGTGGGCGGCGGCGGCGGCGGCCGCCGGTATCGGGCGCGGTGAGTGGGGGCGCCGAGCGGCGGGATGGAGGCGGGCGGGGGGAGGCAGGAGGCGGGCGGGGTGGTGGCGGCGGCGGGGGGGGGTGGGACGAGGCTGCTCTAAGATGGAGCCGGCGGCGGCTGCGGCAGCCCGGGCCGGAGCGGGGGAGGCCGCGGCGGGCGCAGGGCCTGGCGCTGGGGAGGAAGGAGTGTGCGCGGAGGGGGGGGCCCTCTTTAGGGCCATTTTGTCCCCCCTCACATTAAAGGGGGCAGATGCGGGGCCTGCTCCCCTCACAGCCCCGCAGCGGGGTAGGGGGGCGGCCGGGCCCTGTGGCCAGAGGGGCCTGGTTTGTGTGACCCCCCCACCCCCGTCCCAGGCCGTGCAGCCGCCCCGAGCGGCACCGGGACCCCCCGTGGCGCCGCCGCGCTCCCCGCCGCAGGGCGGCCCCGCTCGTTCGTCCCGCGCGGCCCTCCCGTGCGACACAAAGATATTTCTGCGGCGCCGCGCGGGGGTCCGGCGGCCGCTCGCTCGCCCGTGGCGCCCGGGCCTACAAAAGGCTCCGGAGGCCGAAGGCTGAAATGCGGTTTGGGGCGGGCGTGGGAGGGTTTTTATTTTTATTCCTCTCCCTTTTTAATATTTCTTGCATTTTCTCCTTTTTATTTTTTGTTAGCGATGCTTCCAAAACAAGGCTGCCCCCCCGCCCTGTTTTGGGGCTCGGGAGGTAGCTCGGGGAGCATCGTTTTTTGTTGTTGTTGTGGAGGAAGGAGTTTCGAGGGAAGGAGTCCCACCTCCAGGCCGGTGGGAGGAGATGTGCGGGCAGCCCGCAGAATTCCAGCGCCTGGGACGAGACCGTGCGGCTCCGAGGGGAGTTTGTGGCCTAGGGTTGGCTCCGCGCTTCTAGGGTTTTCCGTAGGGACTGTGAGCAAGTCCGTCATCCCTCAAATCCAAGCCCAACTTCCAGGTTTCCATAGGCTGGGAATTCAACAGGGAAGTTCTTATTTCTTCCCTCTAACATAGAAAGGCTGAGGAGGAAACCCAGAATTCTGGAGGATGGAGCAGCCATGGTTTTGGAAAATGAACCCACCAAACATTTTGCGTATGAACCCATCAGATATCATTACACAGATTCTATATTAACCCTCCTAGTGTTGGGGATGATACTACATGGTAAATGTAAACATTGAGGACCGTAGTCAGCTACTCTGTCTCTTTCTAGGAACGAGTATTAAATATAGGCATGATGCAGAGCCTGCAGCGTCTGCTGTAGCCCACTTCCAACGAAGCCATCCCATCCTTTGGGATGCACTTAAGATTGGTGGTTTAGACCTCCTTCAGTTGCACGCAGGGACCCAGAGGAATGGGCCCTCTCATGTGAGGTACCGTGTAAACAACGTGCTCCTGCCCTGGAGAATTGACTCCAGGTAGATGGATTTTTCGAGTATAAACAGGTGAGGATGTTGGGTTTAGACCTGCTGTTTCCATGGCTTTTGCAATTCCAAATGCAGTTGGCATTGGGGTTGTTCAGTGCTGTCCTCAAAGCCAGGTGCTCTGGGAGCAGGGAGAGTGAAATAAAATCACCTGGTGAGGGAAGTTTGGACCATTTTCTGAAGATGAGATTTGCAGAGAGGAGGAGACAGTTGCAGGATGATTTCTGTTTCAAAATTTGAAGCACTTTTTTTTTTTTTTTCACTTTAAATGCTGCAAATGGGCCTCAGTTCTGTTAGGAGCACATCTGGGATCTCCAAGATCCTTGTGGACTTGGGAGCAATAGTGTTTCTTTCAGGGTAGTGGCCTACAAGGTTTTTCTTTCTAGTATGATTCTGTGATTTTGAGGATACACTAAACCAGACCTCTTCCTTATGGCTCTTTGTAATGGTCTAGTACTTTCTTTTTATAGTTCAACTGTCAGATTAAAAATATAGGAATTGTTAGACTAATAGAAAGTATTGGCCTGAGATTGTGGTTCTTTTTTATTTATATTTGACAAAATCAGTAGAAGTACATCTGTTGTTAGCTGTATATTGGTTTTGTGCTAAATCTCATATGGACTTGAATGCAAGTTACTTGATTCCTTTTTCTTATTTTTTTTTTATTAGTTCCTTTCACTAGTTTTAGTTCTGTTTTTCTGCACTGCATGAGTAGATTAGGTGTCAGATATTTTAGGACATTTTCAACAGAAATATATTTTAAATTATTTCCTATATAAATTGGACAGACAGATTTCATTTTTAAAAAAGAAAGAGTAATAAGGCACTCATTTTATACACATTTCCAAAATCTTCATTATATTAGTCCGTCAGATACTTTTCATGGATTTTTATTTTTTTTGATAGAGATTTTTATGGAATGAATTTACCTTATTTTATCTAAATTTGGAAGATTTTGATTTGCCATCAAATCCTACAGCGCATTTTTGATAAGCTATCAAAAAATGTTCTTCCCATGAGGCCAAAAAAGGAAACTCAGCCATCCTGTATGAAGCAGGACAAGTAAATAAATAGACTAAGCAAATGCTAAAAAGAAGATGCAGGAGCTAAAAATGCTTTAGTTTAGTAAGTATGAATATTGTTCATAAAGAGTTTTATTAAAATGACTTACCATTATGGTGACATTTTAATAAAGCCTTTTATTAAAGCTTCCTGTAAAACCTAACTTCAAAGGCTAATTTCCTTGAACAACATCCTTCTAAAGGTAGGGGACGGTGTTAAAGTCCGTGCTTGTCTTGTGCCTGATGTTCAGCTGAGCAGTGGTATAAAGACAAATAATCCTCCGTCATCCCATGTGTGTTGCTGCTACTTTTGCATAATCCCCAATTCCTCCGCGGTATCCTCATCCTGCAGGCCCTCCCATATGGTAGGTAGCTGGAAAA